GAAGGGGAGGAGAAAAGGGTGGAAATGCTATAAATACAGTATCTAAGAATAAAATCTCAGCAATATATAAATTATTACTGAATTAAAAATTTCCTGATTCTTTTATTTACTTAAACCATGATTGGTTTTGCCATTGCTTTCTAAAAGGGTATCAGGACCTATTTCAAAGCCTGTAGCATCTGGCCCCTTGAACTCTGCATTGCCCTTTTTCTACCCTTTCTAAGTTCTACTTTCGTTTCATTGTCCCTGGTAATACTGTGCCCCTCTTTGCCAGGGAAGTGTGGTTTTTACCATGGTTTAACCAAGAACTTTCATCAACCAATGATCTAAAGTCAGTATTTCCCCATATGAGAAGCATATTTCCAGCTTCCTAACGATGCCCAGTGTTATTTCTTAAAACTTTGAATGTGCTAGGTTTTTCAGGGAGATGGGATTGGGAAAGGAATTAAAGACACTCACCAGATGACTTTAGGTAACAAAGATAACAAATCCTTGTCTATTCAGGTGAGCTGGCTAATCACAAAATTCTTAACATGTAGGAGGAAATGGAGCTCAGATTGATAGTGAGGGCTCCATGTGCCACCAGTAGTCATTAAGATTGACTTTGTCGACTTACAGAGTACAGTCTATAAGGCTGTATATCAAGAAATATGGGCATTCTCTAAGTGGATGGAAAAAGAAGGAAAGACATTTTTTTTGCCCAACCCCCATGGAATACAGCCCTCCTACCATCTCAGTTTTACCTCAACCATATCTGTGTGAGATATCCGACCCAGAGAACTGCACAGTAATACATTTTTGTTTTTAATCCATTAAATGTATCCAGTTTGATGCAACATCAGTAAGAAGTTAATACAACTTACAACCAAAATAATTTTCTCACAGACTTGCCAATCTATTTTCATATCTTCAACAACTGATTTTGCCAGACTATATGCTGATGATAAATATTTTGTTCTTGCCTCCTGCTTTCTTTCAGCAAATGGCTGAACACTCAACACATATTTATGGAACACACAAGGGGATATTTTATTTTAGCGTCTATTTTCCCCCTTAAATTATAGTACTATATTCTACTGATGTATCGGTGTAATTACCTGCTGTTCCCTTTTGTGTTGAAATCAAATGGAATAAAACACAGGGAATAACTTTGTAAACCTTAAAGAGTAATGTGAATTTAGGTTTCAGTTATTGGTGCTAGGTAACAAAAACAACAATTAAACTAATCTGGTTAATGAGCAGACAAAATTAACAGTGGATTTTTAATTACACAAACTGGTTAGTTCTTAAAGTTTTAGGTAGTGGAAATTAACATGATGCACAATGCAACTAATTCTGTACTGAAAACAGACTTCCAACATTGGGTGGTAAATTGAGGCAGGAATGAGCTATAAGATTTAGTTGTATTTATTAAATATATACTGGTAAGTGGGAAGTGTCATGGGTTGTCATTGCAGTTACTGTTAAAACCCTAGATAAATGACAGGAATTACCTGCCTGAAAACGCTGCAATTTCATACTCAGTCTCTCATCTCAGTGCTTACAGGATGTGTATGTTAGGGCTGGAGATACACATCAGTGGTAGAGGGCATATCTATCCATCTACCTTAGGTTCAAATCACAGAAACCATCCAAATAGAATGTGTGAGTGATCTATGTCTTTTGAAATTAACTTACTATTTGACTAAGCTAACTCTGAAATCTTCTCCCATTATTTTGTTTTGCAGAGAAACTGATGTTATATATTCCTGAAAATTGATTTGGAGAACTTTATTTGATTTTAGTGTATTTTTAATTTAGGAACATTTATGTGAACTTCATTTGTACTCATATAAATAGTTCTGAATAAAAATCTGGACAGCCAGATACTGGAACACTGCAGAGGGTGTTAAGCAATGCTGTGGTATTGCTGAGAGAATGAGTTCAGTTGTAGTAGCATCAACCAGGAACATCTGACCTATGGCTCAGGGAAGCTGTAAATGTGGCCAGAACCATATTGTCAAGTAACAAGATTACACATTCCTGATAGACATTTAGAGAAAACATCTCATGTCTCATCATATTGAATCTTAGACCTAGGGTGGAAGGCCATGGCTGTTTGACATAGCAGTCCCTGAGCTGAGAGAAGATGCCCTGTGCTGGAGGACCCAAGCCTCTAAGAAGGACTGATGATGCAGGGCTGGTGTTGACCAGGAAAGGATCATATGAATGTGACTCTATGGGATGTCAGAACTCCAAAACAGTCAACTGCAGCCACTGAAGCAAAGTACTGTGGCTGGGCTGAGGAAGCCAACTGAGGAGCTCCTGATAGACACTGGAAACAGAAATTCTGCTCAGCAGTGCCCTTCTTGGCAAAGCCTAATGACAGTCCAAGTGTTCAGATCTAGTGGTGGTGCAGAGTACCAGCCCCAGCAATACAGAGGTGGAAAAACTAAGGAGAGTAGTTGATCAGGCAGCCTGTCCCAGGTATACGGCAATCTAGGACGGAGTGAGATGAGATCTGTCTTAAATGTTGGTAGTGTAGTTATTATGGTTGTGTATTAAGAGTCAAAGACTTCCTTGCTAACACACACACACACACACACACACACACACACACACACACACACACAGTTACATCTTCAGAATCATGAGACACTATGGCCAATAATGAGTACTCTTCATGTATGTCTCATACAAAAAAATGATTTGGAGTTTGTTTTGTCCTGCAATGAATGGTCTGACATAGGCAAATAAAATTATCTAGAGGAACTCTCTGCATTATTAATCAAGAACTTTTGCCTTTTTTTATTTAATAATTTTTTTTTATTCATTTTACATGCCAACCACAGATCCTTCCCTCATTCCTCTTTCTCCCTCCCAGCCTATCCCCATCCCCTCCTCCAAAAGGGTAGGGGCTCCTAAACTCATAGGAACTTACATACTTTAGACCGACAGCTGTGGAACCTACATGACACAAAACTAGGCCCTCTGCATAATGGACACAGTTGTGTAGACTGGTCTGTTTGGGGGTTCCCCAGGTAGTGGGATCAGGATCTATCCTTGGTGCATAAGCTAGCTTTCTGGAGCCCATTACCTATATGGTTGGGCATCTTGCTCAGCCTTGATGCAGAGGGGAGGGACTTGGTCCTGCCTCACCTGAATGTATCAGGCTTTGCTCTCCCCCATGGAATTGTTGGCTTTTATCCTTTACCCTTTCTTCTCGAAGTTACATAGTGCATTTTGTGGGAAGAAATAAACACAGGGGTCATTGTTTTTTTTTTAAGATTGTTTAGAATATTTATTGCTACTGGACCACATGTCCTTATAGAATATATTAATATTTGTCTTATCTGGGCAAATGTTCTTATTTCATTAGCCTACTATCCTCTCCAGAGTCTAAGTCTTAATGTGGATTATTTAAGCTCTTAACAATATTTCAAATGTAACATTAATTATATTATTGATTATGTAATTAATGTTCATTCCATGATAAATATCTTCATGACAGAAGCCACGAACCCTCTTAAATTTATTTTTGAGATAAATCTCAGAGTTTTACACTTTAGAGTGTCTAAAAGCCTACATTCTGTTGCTTCAGTTTTATCTTGCTGTACTCTCTGTTTCTTTTTAGACAATTTGGAGAAGAGAGACTGGGGAGATAGTTCTGTTGATAAAATGTTTGTTGTGCATGTGAGGATATGAGTTCAATACCCACCATCTACATAAAGATCTCGATAAGGTAGCCTATGTTTACACCCCCAGCCCTGGGGAGTTGGGGGCATGAGAATCCCTGGAGTTTACTGGCCAGGCAGCCTATATTGCTTGGGGAGCTCCAGACAGCAATGAGACACCTTGTTTCCAAAATTAAAAGGTTTGGTTTTTGGAAACAGAACTTGGGATAAAACTTTATCCTCTATACCCTCACACATACATAAAGGGGAAGATTCTGTTCTGCCAGAAACTCCCAAATATCCTGTAGTCTCTTCCCAAATTATCACTCAGAGCCTTATATTAATTATAAATGCTTGGCTGGTAGCTCTTACATTTAAATGAACCCATTTTTATTAATCTAAACGCATTGCCATGAGGCCTGTGGCTTACTGATTCCCTGGCATCTTATTCCTTAGGTGGCTGGATTGTGTCTGCCCTGACTCTGCCCTTCTTCATCTCCAGTTTGATTGCACCATCTAACCTTATTCTGCCTGGCTATTGGCCAAAACAGCTTTATTTACCAGTCAATAAAAGTAACACATATTCACAGCATACAGAAAAACCATCCCACTGCATTTCCCCATTTCGGTCTAACCAAAAAGGAAGGTTTTTAACTTTAACCTAGTAAAATTACATAAAACAAAACAGTAATCAAGCAAAAATACAGTTAGATTATCTAATCTATTTGTATTTGGTGAAATTAAAGAAAATACTTTATCATCTATCCTATCTTTGTGAGTCTAAAGTTTCATATTTAATTTACCTTTTATTGTAATCAAGGAAAACTACAATTATAACTACTGAGTCTTTAACTTCATCAAAGACCCCAGAAGATATAAATATTACCTAAGTAAACATGAAGTGCATTGTAAAAAACTTCCAAACTCTAGAAATGACAGCGACATCTAGCTGCCTAGACAGTCACTCAAAGTTTTTCTGTAACATGGGGGTATCCATCTTTAGCCTATAGGTCTAGAGTATCTGGCAGACTTTTTAGTGAAGTGGGAAATTGGAAGGACTGTCCCACCTATATTGGCAAAATTCGCCAGTCACTTTCCTCTATATTCTGCAGAATGTCTGGCAGTTTCTTCTATGAAGCAGGAATCTGAAGGACCATCCCACCTTGTTTTGGCAAGATTAGTGGTCACTTTCCTATGGGTTCTGCATATCCAGTTTATATAGCATACTGTCAAGCAGTCCAAGCAAGAGCATTTTCTTGTCCAAATGGTTAGCTTTGTCACATTGAAAGCAAATTCCAAATAAGTACTTATAATTAAAAAAATGAAATTGGATATTCCTCTCCCACCTTCCAGTTCTCAAATGATCACTCAGATGCCTAATATTAATTATAAATGTTCAGCCAGTAGCTCAGGCTTATTATTAATAAGGTCTTACACTTAAATTAACCCATAATTCTTCTTTTCTTTTCTTTTTTTTTTTCTTGGTTTTTCGAGACAGGGTTTCTCTGTGTAGCTTTACGCCTTTTCCTGGTACTCACTTGGTAGTTCAGGCTGGCCTCGAACTCACAGAGATCCGCCTGGCTCTGCCTCCCGAGTGCTGGGATTAAAGGCGTGTGCCACCACCACCCGGCACCCATAATTCTTATCTGTTTAGCCACATGGCTTGGTAACTTTTCTCAGTACGGCATTCTTATCTTGTTTCCTCTGCATTTGGCTGCTGACTCCTGACTACACCCTTCTCTTTCCCAGCATTCTCAGTTTGGCTTTCTTGCCTAACTTTCTGCCAAGCTACTGGCTAATCATTTTTTTATTAACCAATGAGAGTAATGCATATTTTTAGTATAGAAAAGAATTGTTCCACACACGTACACACAAAAGTTTTTGGGATATATATTTAAGTAGTTTTGGCTTAATCCAAATCTCTTTAGCATGGTCCCAATATGAACATACTTTTCAGTATGCAGTCTGCAGTAAGGATAAGCTGGGGCTAAGTTGGTAGGCCCCTATCACCTATTTCTAGTTACAGAGAACAGCTTTACTGACTCTATCATTTTTTTTTCTATATATAACCTGTCCTTCTTTATTGAGTCTTCATTTCCTTTTTTTGTTTCTTTCTCACAATAGGAGAAACACTCAACCTTATCCTATACCACCTCTGTTGATCTTCACCAGAATTCCCTACTATTTCAGCTTGGATTCTCTACTCCCCGTTCTCTGTTGGTAAGTGGCTTGGTGTCAAATGGAGTAAAAATCTGGCACAATAGTATGGCTGTGTCAATGGCTGCCATATGAGTTTAAATATCATGTATTCATAGTCTTTGTGGGAAACCCTCCAGGGAGATTCTGTGCTAGAGCTGAAGGAAGAAGTCTCTTTTGTAGTCAATGACTGTCTCCCTCCTGATGAGAGATGTTCACTTCATCTGAGAAGCTCAGTGAGGGTTAGTCAAGTGCATACATGGAAGAGTCTTCAAACATTTTAAAATGGTTTTCTTAATGAGAATGTAATTATTACACATCAAAAAGAGCACATAATAAGGACCGAGCAATACAAGACCACATATAAATTCTAATTTCTAAATGAACATCAGATTAGAGCTCCTGTATGTGAACAGGTTGGACTCTGCAAAGTCACTGATGCTGTGGTTTCAGTGTCTGATGCTACAGTACACATGACTTGTTTTTTGACACAAAATTTGTTTCTCTCTTTCATAAGATAAAATCTGCAAGCATTTTGGATCCAGGAACGATACAGAAGGCTCTAACAACTGAATTGTCTACCACCCTCACATGCTCAATGACTCATCAGCACAAAAGAGTTTAGTGGTGGATCAAAATAGACCAGCTCTCCTTTGCTCCTATCCTGGTCTCTGTCTTGTAAAAGGTGGCTGCTTCCAGTTTCAATTCAAAGTTTTAAATCAAGTGAAGAAAGATATGATTCTCATCTTATGATGGCATGGCTTATGACTTCTAAAAACTTCTCATTTGGGGTTTCTCCATGTTGCAGACACAACCCTTACCAATACCTCTTTCATACGGCACTGAAGCCCTTGAGCAACCACATAGCACCAAGTAATTGCATCTCTTTAGGTTTTTAGGTCACTGAAAAGCACAGAGACACTACAGATTTGGGCTTTGGCCAGCTTTCCTGCAGTTTTCTTGGGGTGATCTTCCCTGCAGACTCACCTGAAATGATCTTACAGCAGCTGCTGCTCTTCACCTTCATAGTAAGTCACAGGATAGGTTATGCATTTCCGGGGAAAGCTGAAATTCAGCAGATGTTGGGTCAGGTGGAATATTCCTAGTCTGACATTACAGAAAAATCTTGTCTCGAAGTTTGAGAATTATTTCTGTGTGGAGTTTCACTCCACTGCTATTACTCATTCCCTTCTCCCCCCAGTGCAAGAGAAACAACTCAAGGGGATAAAGTTAAGGTTTCCTGGATTAAAAGGCAGACAGACATACAGTGAGTGCCATGGGTTGAAGACTAATTTTCTAAGGACTAACTAGTTTCCTGGACAGGCAAGGAGGGGATTGAATCTTTAAGATTCATATGAGAAAGGGTGCTGTAGTTTCTTTTGTACTGTCTTCCTTGACATTTTCCATGAATAAAGCTCGTTATGCTGACTGGTTCTTGGAATAGCCCCACTCCTTTTTTGTGTTCATGGCTTCCTTCATAAAGACCAAATACTGCAAACCAACCCCCATGCATCCTGGGCTGATTATTAGCTTTGAATGTCACTTTAAGTAGAGAACCATATTCCTCACCACTAGCAAGGCATAGTAACCTTAGTGGTTTAGGGAAGTGTCCGATCAATAGGGTCAGCACATTTGGGAACTTTATACTATCTTGGCAATTTTTAGTAGTTCATTCTACAATAAAAATATAATAAAAAATAAAAATCAGGATTCAGTAAATGAAACGTCATCCTTTTAGAGAAAGAAGTGGGTGAGGTTAATGAGGGAGAGGGAAGGAAAGGGGGAATACACCCTTAATTAAACTAGATTTATCTTCAGAGACTTAATGACGAGTAACAAGGGAAACTGGAAGGAAATATTACAGTTTCTCTTCTGGTGGGATTTCCTTTTAAAAAACTTACTATTTTATATTAAAGACCTTTCAAATCCCAATGTCTCCCCTCTCTCATTATAGACACATACAAACAGGGCTGAAGGATGAATGTGATTAATAATTTTTTCCTTTGCTATTATCTTCCTTTTCTTTACATATTCATACTTCTTCATGTCTTAGAATGACCTACTGATCCACACAACATTTTTTCTACATTGATTCATTCCCACACAAATGGGGAAACATAATTAGTAAGATATTTCTGTATTTCTGCATCTTCTGCATTGCTCCTTCCAACAGATTTATTGCTCGCTATGATTGTTCACAGTGCATTAAAAATGCATGCTCTTCTCCAGCGCTCATTCATTTTTATAGATGCCACTGGGCTTCAGTCGTGTGCGGTTAAGGGTTGTTGCAAATAATCCCAGACACATTGTAGTTGTTATTGCTGATAGTAAATGTGACTGTATCTTACAACCTTGTATCTTGAGGTTTAAAAACATGAGAGAGGGGGAGAGAGAGAGAGAGACAGAGATAGAGACAGAGAAAGAAAATCTATAAACCCAGAAGCAATGTCTGAGAAAGATGTTTCAGTTCTGTCAGTGACAGTCATTATGTCCTGAATCAATTTTTTTTCTTATCCTTGGGACCTCTACAAATTGGATGATGCCTGCTCACACAGGAGAGGGCTATCTGCTCTTTTCAGTTTGCCAGTTCAAATGCTGTTGTCTTCTAGAAACAGCTAGAATGTGCATTTGAAAAGCTGGCTGAACATCCCTTAACAGGAAAGATCAGATGCAAAATTAACCAACAAACCAACCTAGCCTTTGGATCACCAGATCAGATTTGCATCTCTCTCTTTTTTTTTTCCATTTCTACCCCTAGCAAACCAGAATTAAACTCTCTGCTTCTATGATAATTTATTATCCAGATTTGCACTTCTTGGAAAGAACTGAGAGAATATTTCCCATTTGAGATCCTGCCAACCACCAACCATAAACAATATTATATTATGTGCTTCAAAGGAAACATTCAGCATGAATTTCTGTGCTCTAAAATATAAGACAAATCTTTAATAATGTTATTAAAACAGCAGAAGTAAAACATCTCAGGCTTATATACTGACTCCTCATCAGGATTTAGCTGTTTCATAAGTTTTATTTCACTTAAATTTTGTGCTAAAGTGAGATTTCACTACATATTTTCTAAAAAGCAAACAAACACACAAAAGGTAAGTATGTTCCTATCTCTAGGGTAGAGAGAATGATGTCTGAAGAAATGGAACCATTACACTTTCTTCAGGCGTGTTGTGTGCTTCTGGTTGCTATCTGTCAATCTAGGGCTAATCAAAAGATTCAGAATACATTGATCTTCAGAGGGGATCTTACTTAAAATGTAAACTGTGTTAATTCTCAGGAATCAGAGTAACTATAAGTGAAAAAAGAACACTAACAAATACTAGGGCTGAGAAAGAGCAAGGCAGGGCAGGTTTGAGAGTTGAGCCCATTCCCCAAGAAGTACTATCAAACTATATGGTAGTGGCATTTACTGGAGCACACAGCTACAGATACTGTGGTCACTAGATATGGAGAAGGTGTCTGAGTCCCTCTATAAACAGGTAACCAGGAACAACACCTGTCTGTATCAAGAGGGCTGATGGGGTTTTCAACAAGCCAGATCAAATCTTTGATGTCACCAGCAGACCAGACATCCTTTGAACATTCCTTGGATTTAGCCTGTAAGGATGTTCTTACATCTAGAGCGATGACCCCTGGTATAGGCTCAACCAGCAGCAAGAGAGTTCCTTTCTCAGTGCCTTATGATAGGAGTTGTAGCATCACAAAACGTGATGGGATTACAGCAGTTGGCTGCTTTAAAACAGAAAATGAGGGTTGATTCTGGAAATAAGAAATAAATTAATAGCTGACATATTAACTTAATGGAACAATTTATATTTTCCAGAGAAATCTTATTATGGAATTTAAAACTCAAGATGTATATAGCATACTTCTATAAGTCAAATGTTGTGATAAAGTCCTGTTCATTAAAAAATCATTCCATGGAGGAAATGAGGTAGGAGGAATGGCCGGATGGCTAACTGATCTGGATTCAATCCTGGCTTGCCATTTCCTAGTTCTATGATATTTAACATTTTGTTTTCTCACTTTGTCAGGTGAGGCTGATAATGACACCTCTGTCCTAAGTTTTGTGATGATCATTATAGCTAGTAGAGCATCTGGCACATATTAAAGATGAAGCGATGAGTTGCTTTTTCTCCTATTGACAAGGTGACCCTCTACGAAGTCACAGTAAATTGTTTCTAATTCCATCCCTGCACATTCCATGCTTCATTTTTTATCACTGGTCCAAATAAGAATCAAATATTTTATAGCAATATAGGAAAATTTATATCTTCATTCCATTTTATCCTAATTTGAAAATCATTGCCTGCTGAATAAAATTTTTCTTTCTCATTTGCCCCCATGAATCTAAGCTGTACAATGAAGGGGAGAACATGGGGAGCCAGGCACAGTAAACTTAAAATCTTTTTTGAAGATGAAGAATTGCTGAGACTGGAATACTTAGTAAAGAAAGCCATGAATGAAATAGTTTGCCAGAGGTCCAGTCCCTGAAACCGAGATGTCAGAAGTGGTTTGTGGGGGTGGTGACAAGGCAGTATATACGTTGGCCAATGGCTGAGCAGGGATGAAAAACAAAATCCTTTTTGGGGTGAGACAGTCAAGAAGTTTTAGGGCAAAGCCTTTGAGAACATTATATTAAATAGCTATGGAAATTCTCCAAATCCTAAGAGAAAAAAGACAACTAAATAGCAATCATAAACACACAGGTCAGTGCCAGTTTTACACAACATTCTTTTCTTTTTCCTGTTATGACCGAATGTTTTTGGTCCATGTGTGTGCATAGTCAACCATCTTGAGTTTTGGAACCTCCATACACATTATGAATTTCTGTGTGCTCATAAAGAGGGGATTCTTGAGACCAGGGAATGGAGAAGAAAGAGACAAAGAGGCAAGAAAAAGAGTTGTAGTTCAGTGCAACTGACCTCACACTTAGAAATGCTGCATTAGCGATTACCTGTTACCAACGTTACAGGAAGTTAGTTGAAAAAAAAATCTGACAAATTATTTATTATAACCAACTTCCAGTAAGTAGCCTAAACAAGTTTGAAACTTTTCTTATCTGTATTGGAATAAAATTTTACCACTAATGGCAAAAATAAGCTACTCTACAGTTCTCTCACTCAGCCAAGGACCCTAGAGATACTGCACTGTGAAGTAGGCAGAGAACAGGGAAAGGAGATCCACGAGCTCCCGTCAGCATAGCTCCGGTTTGCACAGAAACCACACACCCTGAAGTCTCTTTTGTCTCAGTGCCCTATTTTCACTGAAACAAAACAAAACAAAAACAAAAACATTGATTTCAATTTTCTTTCTAGGGGATTTTAACGAATCCCAAACCTATAAATCTTTGAGGATTCTTTTTTTATTGTATCATATAATAGCGTCTTTTTTCAGATAAAGAATCAATATGTGCAACCTGAAGAACTGTGCTTGGGGAGGCTGAGACCTCATTTTTGCAAGAGTCCGTGTGGCTATTGTCCTTTTCCCACACTCCCATACCATAAGAAAATATAACTTCTCGGTGCAGATTTTCCTTAGAGATCAATAAAACAATAAACTACAAAAGTACAGCCATTAAAGTATTGGCTTTACCATGAAAACACCACGTTTTACTGGCTGCCCTTCAAGTCCCTTGGCTCCAATAAGGCTTATCCAAGGTGCTAGGGTTGCTGCTAATGGCAAAACAATCAGCAGAGCTCTTCTGTTGCCATTGTCCTTGTTGCAAACCCTTTTCCACTGTGAGCTGAAGGCTGTCTGCAGTTATTTTGCTGTTTCAAGTGTCTTTCTATAGTGCTTGTAGAAATCCACCCCCTCTTTTTCTGTAAAGGAGAAAGCTATGTGAGGGGGTGGGTGACAATTACAGAGAAGGAAAACAATTAGTCACGTGTCGCAGGATGCTGTTTTTAAATGTTATAGTGCAATGTCACGGCTGTTTCCAGTTTAGCATCAAGGGATTGCAGAAATCTTTCCCACAGAGCTACCTTCTTAGAGTTTATTCTCCGACTTAATGTTGTTGTACATTCAATAAGTTATGAGATAGTATACTTTTTTTTTTGGTAAAGTGTCTGTTCTAGTTTGATTACTGTTGCTGTGATCAAAAGCTACTTGAGGCCAAAAGGGCTTTATCTGGCTAATAGCTTTAGTGTATCACTGAGCAAAGCCAAGGCAGAAACTCAAGGCAGGAGCCTGGAGGCAGGAAAGGAAGCAGAGCCACAGACGAACTCTGGCTTTTACCCCAGCTCATGATCAGTTAGTTACCTTTCTAATACCTCCCAGGACCACCTGCCTAGAAATGCTGAAGATTCAAATCTTGTT